AACCCCCATGACGTCTCCTTTTCTCCCTCCTTGTCCTCCTCCTCCGTCTCATTCTCCCTCTCTTTCTCTCTCTTCCTCCCGCACGTGTTCCCCCAAGGATTTTCACAGGGGCTGAGGGAACACATAGTCGAATCGATTGGCAAGACCTCTGCCCAACGTTTTGGCCATATAGGCGTTTCCAGAAGGCAAGGGGCGGCGGTTGCTCGCCGAAAGCGTCTTCGATCCGTCGCCCCCTGTGCTTGTCACCAGGGTGCTTGTCGTGCTGAACTTTTCACGGCTTCAAGCATCTTGTTAGAAACAACATTCCCAATGTACTTCGGCCTATGAAGCCAGCCACGCAGAAAGTACCACAAAAGAGGAAAAGCAAGAATTTTTCCGCCCAGTCTGCCCCCAAGATGCCATCCAATACGCCCAGTACAGCCTCCAACACGGTTCCAAGACGGTCAAGATGGCCCAAAGATGGCCCACGATTCCCTCCAGATGACCCCAAAGGCCCTCAAGACGTCCCAAGAAATCCAAGAGGACCTCAAGGACGCCAAGATCATTGATCCTCCTCAGAGTTTTGAATGCTTTCGCCGTTCTCCCCTTTTCGGGCACCAGACGCTTGAAGACGGCCCAATAGGCCCTCAAGATCGCACCAAGACAACCAACTGGCCGGGGCCCCCAAGACAAGAGGCCCGTCAAAAAAACCTAAGAAGCTCGCAGAAAGCCACAAGCCGGCCTCCAGAGTCCTCCTTTTTCTCCTCCTCCTCGTCCTTGTCCTACTTCTCATTCTCCTCTGTTTTTCTCTCCCAAGTGTTCCCCCAACGGGGTTCCACAACGGCTGGTGGGAACAACCAGTCCAACCGACTGGCTAGAAATTGGCCCAACGTTTGGCCGCATGAGCGAGAGAGGCAGGGCGTGGTGGTGGTTCGCCGTAAGAACCTTCGATCTCATCAGAAATCTGTACATTCCGGGGTAATGATATGATATTTCGGGTTGCGTTCGTATACTGTTTCCAGTCGTGCCTAAAGCACGTCTCATCAGACATGGGCAAGTGGAGTCAATCGCAAACAGCGCGTGACATGCTACCGGAATGCCAGAATTGGATATGCGTTTGTACGGGATACGGAACGAGGCGGCCATATATATATATATATATATATATATATATATATATATAGGCATGTATGGATGGATTATGTGTTGCTGTATGTATGCGTGTATGTCTATCTGTCTGTCTGTCTGTCTGTCTGTCTGTATGTATGTATGTATGTATGTACGTATGTATGTATGTATGTATGTATGTATGTTTGTATGAGTGGATACTCGTATGTCGAAATATACGTGTATATATGTATGTCTGTATGTTTGTACGCAGGTAGGTATGAGTGTATGTATGTATGTCTGTTTGTCTGTCCGTATGTCTGTATGTAGGTCGGTAGGTCGGTAGGTAGGTAGGTACGTAGGTCGGTAGGCAGGTGGCTAGGAAGGTAGGTAGGTAGGCAAGTATACATACACATGCACACGTCGGGAACGTTGTATCCCGATCGCACTTCCGACTAACGCGAGAAGAAATAATCAAAGCAACGCAAGCTTCTGCGGGCTTTCCGCCGACACTTCCGATCAGGGGCGACCCGCTGGAGCTTCGCCGCATGAGGTGAACATGGCGCTGCTGGCCGCCGTGGCGGCCAGGCAACGCGCCCCCCGCGTGGACCTTGGAAAGAACCCGAAGGACGTTCTCGTCTCGTGTGAGCGAATGTGATCGTATGGTGTGCCCGCCTCGTGCAATCGAATGAGATCGCATGGCGCGCTCGTCTCGTGCTGTCGAACGTGGTCGCGTGGCGTGCTCGCCTCGTGGGGGCGAATCGGATCGCATGGTGGTGGGACATCCCAGGGTAACGCTGTCAATCGCGCTGCCGCAGCCCCTTTCGCCTTTCGCGGTTACATCTCTGACCTTGTCTCGCACTTCAGGGGCGCGACGATCTTGGTGGCTGTGATCTTACCTTCGTCCAGCAAGGCCATGAGCGCGGGCGGCGAGAGGTGACGCTCACGGTGGTCAGCAACCTCTCCTTTACGACTGAGGCACGGTCTGACGTCGATTACAGCCTCCTGCTTGACAGCGTCAGAAGCTGCTGATAACCTTGCGGCAAACGACCTTGGTCGAACCGTGTTGGCTCTCAATTCTGTGAGCGCATGCATACATTTCCTCCAGGGCGGGGTGCAACGGCCAATGCAAAACGTCAGTCACCTGCGCTTCCGCTGCACGGCCTCGTTGGCCACCTCGTGCTACGTGGGCCGTACATGGAAGCAGCACTGAATTGCATTCGACGTCTCATGGACCAATCCAATCTGGGAGCAGCTGGACTGCCCGGCGGATGCAAAACACGAGCATGCCATCGAGCTCGTCAAGGACAAACTGTTCTCCATTCTTGGTCGGCGGCCGCAAGAACACTTGACCACAAGACTTCTGGGCGTGCTGCCGCTGCCATCTTCTCTGGCAACTTTCGTCGCTCGGGAGTGGCTAGGGGCCGAGCTGAGAGCTCGGCGCTTCTGTTTGGACGCGTTCGAAAGGTTGCCACAGAGTGCGTGCTTCTGAGGGTGGCCTGCAAGCGCGGACGTGGCCTCACTGGCCATCCTCCCCTTTCGACATGTGTGGAGACACTGCTCAGTTCAGTGAGAACGTGCGCATTTCTACACCAAAAGCGGAGGCGGGCTGAGGTCCGCAACGGCACGGAACCCAGCCCTGTAGATGCTCCAAGGTTTTCTGCTCCTGCGTGGCTGCACGACAACAGTGGTGAATACGTCATGCGCTGTTTGCCTGAACTCCCTCGAGCGAGTAGGAATTATCATTGAGCTCTCATCGTCTGTCCAATGATGATCCTCCATCCTCTGATTAATTTGTGCTGGTACGTTTATTCACGCATGCGTCAATCAGTCCACAGCCACATCCACATGCAGTGTAAGCGTGCGCTCTACATGAGCATAATGATATCTTTGAACACACTTGAACGTTCCCACGTCTTGCTTTTCATTGCGCACATAATATAGTGGCATACGCGTGCGCGCATGCATACCGAATATGATCGCATGCTGCGCATCTGAAAGCATGCAGTCGGCACATCCATGATTGGAACTCAGTGCGCGCGTCCGATCGCAGCACACGCGTTCACATTGTACTGGTTTTACGCACGATGGTGCTCATTCACATAGGCGCGCACAAATATGTTCAACCATCTTGTCCAACGTACTCGTAAGCACGGAAATATTTGTCGTATATTCCCTCACCGTCGTTGCTCATTGTAATGCCGGACCCTTTACCGATACAGAACAACATTGTTTCGGGTTGCCACGTCAATGCAACATGCCGCTGGTATGACTCTCGTCCGTTGCGGACCGGATCACCTCTCGCTCCGATAAGATAGTCGCTCAAAAAAACGTGCGCGTGCATATTCAATCACCTCGCCCAATGTTCTCGTACTATATATATCGTGCCGTGGAGAACTCACTTCAACCAAGTACAACATGTTTGCGGATTGTCCAAGTCAATGCAAACATGCCACTGGTATGGCTCTTGTCTGTAATCCAGATCATTCACGTATTTGCGGACTGGATGACCTTGACTCGGAGGACGAACAAGATCCCCATAACATTGTACACCATTGACCTGGTCATTTGGAGTGGGTACGCGAACGACGATTGAAACTGAGTGCAAGTAAGACCACCATCTATTGACCAGAAATCACTTCCTCACCTTGCGTAAGGCGCCGCGCCCGCAGTGCTAAAGCGATGCACCCTGCAGGGCAGTGTATGCGAGTGATGATTCTCCCCTGTGCCTGGAGACACGGACGTCCAAACGCAAAGTTCTGTGCCTCTTTGGCCTCCAGTCGCATTGTCACAACATGAGAGCACTTCTCTTGCTACACATCGCGCGCTCTATGCCTTCAGTATTTGCTCTGCTCCTTCATTACAAGATGGCCACCCTGCGCTTTGAAAGCGTAACATGTGAAGGGGTGGGGGGGGACGAGAGGGGATCGGGACAGGGGTATTGGAGAGAAGGAACAGAGCAGCACAAGGAAGGGGATAGGATGCGAAGGGAAATCAGAGAGGAGGATGAGGATGAGGTTCAGGACGATGACGCAGATGATGGGGAGGAAGACGATCATCTGGACGACGACAGCGAAGGCGAGGGCCAGGGGGCAGGAAATCGCAGGGAGGGGAAGCAGTATGACAACAGGAGGGTGAGTGGCGGCAAGACGGCTAGCATATCAGCAAGCCGATCGCACCAGCGGGCTGCGCGCACGTTTTCTCAGGGCGTGGCTCGCTCTTGTCTCACAGCGCGATCAAATCAAGCGGCTCGGAAGGCAGAGGGCCAAGGGGGCCGACGCTTCAGAGAGAGGCGTCGGATCGGCTGAAAATCGGTCCCCAGACACAGTCAGGGGTCCACCCGACGCACTTTTTCACCCCGCATCGACTTTCGACGGTCCTGGAGCCCGAAAAGGGCCTCCAGAAGGTCGAGCATCTATGAAGATCCTCCTCCTGCCTTCCCTGCATACCAGTGCAGAGCAGAGCGCGACCGTCAAAGTGCCGCGCGCCCCGCCGCCCTGCAGTCCGTGGCCCCGCGGGGCTGGGCCCATCGAGGAGCGCTCCCCGCCATGCCGCGTAGAGGTGCCAGCAGCAGTGGGGCCGCGCTCGCTCGCGAAAGCCGCCGACGACGACGGCGATGACGATGACGCCGGCGGCGGCGGCGGCGCCGGCCGCGGCGGCGACGACGGCGGCGCCGCCGCGGGGATGACGCCAGGGGCGGGGCCGCATTGAAACTCTTGGTCAGCGGCGACGTCGGAACTCAACGGGTTCGGGCGGCTGGCGGTGCGCGCGGCAGCGAATCAGGCCCGGGGGGGCACGGGGAAGAGGAGGGCGGCGGCGGACGAGGGTGGAGGGGATAGGGGCGCCACTCAGGCGTTGAGAATCTTCGCCGTCGCGCCCAGCAGGGCGGCCAGGTGCACAGGCACGAAACCGGCCCGGTATCGTGCGCAGCAAGGGGAGCGAAGCGACATCACGTAGCTGGCGACGGGGGGCGGGGGCAGCGCTGGCGAGCCATCAGGAGAGGCGGCTGAGATCTGACCACCACGAACCTCCAGCGAGGGGGCGTCTGGCGCCCGGGGACCGCTGCCCCGGGTCCGGCCGCTCCCAGAGTGCCTCGGACTTCGCCCTCTCCCGCGCGAGAGGGAGGCTCCCCCGCGCCTGGCGTATCGCCTTGGCGCGCCTGTGCCCCCCCTTCGGCTGGCACCCTCGACTCCTTGCCGTCGTTGAGCCAGGGCCAGGCCAGGTCAACCCGCACTTTATTCGGTGCTCAATTTGACGCGAATCTCTCGTTTTCCCTGTCCCTGGGTATGGGCATCTTGTACAGCGCTTGAGAGTGAGCGAGCGAGGATAAGGATGAGGATGAGGATGAGGAGGAGAGCAGGAGGAGGAGGAGGACGAGGAGGAGGAGGAGGAGGAGGAGGAGGAGAAGGAGGAGGACGAGGAGGAGGAGGAGGAGGAGGGGGACAAGGAGGAGGAGGAGGAGGAGGAGGAGGAGGAGGAGGAGGAAGAAAGGCTCTTCCCCAGGAGTAGTCAGTCTCTCATCGCGGAATCCGTTTCTGACGGCCCCGGGGCCCGAAGATGGCGAAAAGAATCGGAAGATCGAAGAACGACGAAGATCGGCGAAAAATAAATGACCTGTCGATGAGGACGATGAGGGCGCCGCCGCCGCACGGGGGATCGAGAACGGGCGCCCGACGCTGAGGCCGTGGGCGCGATCCGGGTGTGCGCGCTGCAGCTCTCGCCGTCGAGCTGGAGGGCCCGCCCGGCGCACTCGACGGCCCGGTGGAGGACCTGCGCGATCTCCGCCTCTGGCTCGGAGGTTCGAAGTTCGAGCCTCGGGGATCGAAGCCTTCTGGCCCTCAGGGGCCCTCCTCGTCGCCGCGGCTGGGCGCGGCGCGGAAAAACTGGTGCGCCTGGACCCCGCGAGGGTCCAGGGACCAATTTTGAGCGGAGTTGGGCCGGGACCTCGATCTTTTTTACTTCGTTTTTTTTTTTTTCGATGTTTCCTTTTTGCTTTCTTTTTTATTTCGATTTTTTCCGATTTTTCTGACCATGTGTTCTTTGTTGTTTCGTTTTTTCCTCGATCTCGGCCTCCCGGGGGCCGTCCTCGGGCTCCAGGACCATGCGGGACGCAACGCTACCCCTGGGGAAGGGCTGCAGATCTCTGGGGCCGCGGATTGGAACATGATCGACCCACGACCCCGGAAAGGAATATAGAGATGTAACGCATGGCAACGCTTCAAAGACACCTGATTGGACGAAGGGCAACTGCAATGCTGAGTGTATCGACCTTGATGTACCGTGCCGATGGCTGCGCTGTACTGCGCCGTGCTGGCGATTATGTTCTATAGCGTTGTGGATCGAGTCCTGCTTTGCATCCGAGTCCTGACCGAACTGATCTGGATCTCAAGCTCGAGCTGCCTGAGCACATAGTAGCTGTCCCACAGCTACTTGACAAGGGGACATGCTAGGAGGACGCGCCGCGGAACGTTCCGAGGGACGCGCCAGGCGACGTGCCAGGGGACGTGCCATGGGGACGCACCGCGGGACGTGCGAAGGGGACGCGTTACGTAACGTGCCAATAGACGTGCCACGGGACGTGCCAAGGGACGCGCCGCGCGACGTGCCAGGGGACGCGCCGCGCGACGTGCTAGGGGGACTCGCCACGGGATGCGCCACAGAACGTGCCAGGGAACGTGCCAAATTACAATGCTGAGTGTATCGATCTTGATGTAGCGTGCCGAGGGGTGTGCTGTGCTGCGCCGTGCTGAATTGCGATGTACCATGCCGCGATTGTGTTCTACAGCGTTGTGGATCGAGTCCTCCTTTGCATCCGAGTCCTGACCGAACTGATCTGGATCTTAAGCTCGAGCTGCCTCAGCACATAGTAGCTGCCCCACAGCTACTTGACAAGGGGACATGCTAGGAGGACGCGCCGCGGAACGTTCCGAGGGACGCGCCAAGCGACGTGCCAGGGGACGTGCCATGGGGACGCACCGCGGGACGTGCGAAGGGGACGCGTTACGGAACGTGCTGGGGACAAGCGTTTCGCTCGAGACATCCTGCCAAAATCATCATGCGAGACATCCGCCTGAGCGACTTGGACACGTGAAAACCAGCGTTTCGCTCAACACATCCTCAACACATACTCATGCTAGACATCTGCCTGGGCGAACTGGACACGTGAAAACAAGTGATTCGCTCGAGACATCCTCAACACATCTTCATGTGAGACGTCCGCCTGGGCGACCTGGGCACGTGAAAACAAGCGTTTCGCTCGAGACGTTTTCAACACCTCCTCATTCTAGACATCCGCCTGGGCGACCTGTACACGTGAAAGCAAACGTCTCGCTTGAGACATCCTCAACACATCTTCATGTTAGACATCCGCCTGGGCGACCTGGACACGTGAACACAAGCGTATCTCTCGAGACATTCTCAACACATCCTCATGCTAGGCATCCGCCTGGGCAACCTGGACACGTGCAGACAAGCATCTCGATCGAATTTTCCTTAACACATCCTCATGCTAGACATCCGCCTGGGCGACGAGGACGCGTGAAACCAAGCGTCTCGCTCCAGGCATCCTCAACAAATCCTGGCGCTAGACCTCTGCCTGGGCAACCTGGAGGCGTGAAACCAAGCGTCTCGCTCGAGACATCCTCAAGACCTGGGCACGTGAAAACAAACATTTCACTTGAGAGATCCTCTGAATTCTGATCCCAAGGAGAAGACACTATATAGCACAAAACAAGCGTTTCGCTCGAGACATCCTCAACAAATTCTGAAAACAAGCGTTTCGCTCGAGACATCCTCAAAAGTGAATTCGCCGGCCCACCTCGACCTGGATATTTATCGCAAAAGCAATTCGCCGGCCCACCTCAAGTCAAACCTGGGGGTAAACCCACTAAAAGAGAACCCTGGGCCTAAGCCCTTTCTGGGAAAAATCAGATCGGCGGATTTCTGGGGGGAGAGGAGGCCAAACCTCGAGGACCGAGGTTTTCGGAGACTCTCGGAGGGTTTCTCTTTTCGGAATCCTCTCCAGCAGCTGCGCCTCGCCGAGAGCGTTCTGGGGGTGTCCGGAACTGCCGCCGGAGGTTCGAGTTGTGGCCCGAACAACAATCGAGAGAGGGATAGAGGGAGGCGGAGGAAGTTCGAACGGGTTGTTCGCCATCATCGGCCTCTTAGGGCCCGTCTTGAGCCCTGGGGTCGTCAGAAATCGGTCTGGGATGAGAAATTGGTCAGGACGGACCCCAAGAAAAGTCCGGGGCCGATTTCGAACGCATTTTGAACATGATCGACCCACGAACCCGGAAAGGAATATAGAACCGTAACACATGGCAGCGCTTTCAAAGACACCTGACTGGGGCAATGCTGAGTGTATCGATCTTGATGTACCCTGCCGAGGGCTGTGCTGTGCTGCACCGTGCTGAATTGCGATGTGCCATGCCGCGATTGTGCTCTATAGCGTCGTGGATCGAGTCCTCCTTTGCATCCGAGTCCTGACCGAACTGATCTGGATCTTAAGCTCGAGCTGCCTGAACACATAGTAGCTGCCCCAGAGCTAATTGACAGGGGAACATGCCAGGAGGACGCGCCGCGAAAAGTCCCAAGGGATGCGCCAGGCGACGTGCCAGGGGACGTGCCATGGGGACGCACCGCGGGACGTGCCAAGGGGACGCGCTACGGAACGTGCCAATGGATGTGCCACGGGATGTGCCAGGGGACGCGCCGCGCGACGTTCCAGGTGGACTCGCCAAGGGACGCCCCACGGAACGTGCCAAGGGACGTGCCAAGTTGCAATGCTGAGTGTATCGATCTTGATGTACCGTGCCGAAATCTGTGCTGTGCTGCGCCGTGCTGAATTGCGATGTGTTATGCCTCGATTGTGCTCTATAGCCTCGTGGATCGAGTCCTCCTTTGCATCCGAGTCCTGACCGAACTGATCTGGATCTTAAGCTCGAGCTGCCTCAGCACATAGTAGCTGCCCCAGAGCTAATTGACAGGGGAACATGCCAGGAGGACGCGACGCGGAACGTCTCAAGGGACCCGCCAAGCGACGTGCCAAGGGACGTGCCATGGGGACGCACCGCGGGACGTGCCAAGGGGACGCGCTACGGAACGTGCTGGGGACAAGCGTTTCGCTCGAGACATCCTGCCAACATCCTCAGAATTCCTGCGCGCGGGACGCGGCACGCGCGAGACATCCTCGGAATTCCTGCGAACGGGGCGCTTTTCCGCGTCGCGGTCAGCTCTGCAAAACCAGCGTTTCGCTCGAGACATCCTCAACAAATTCTGAAAACAAGCGTTTCGCTCGAGACATCCCCAACTCTGCAAAACCAGCGTCTCGCTCGAGACATCCTCAACAAATTCTGAAAAACAAGCGTTTCGCTCGAGACATCCTCAAACATAATTTCGCCGGCCCTCTTCCCGCATGTAATATATCGCAGAATAATTTCGCCGGCCCACCTCCCGTCGAAACTGGGGGGTAAACCAACTAAAAGAGAACCCTTGGCTCGAGCCCTTTCCGGGAAAAAGGAAATCTTATTTCTATGTCGCGAACTGGCAAGCTTAGGTCCACATGTGCACCGACCGGCTGGCGGGCTGAGCGCAATAACTATCACTTTACGGTCCTCTTTCTCCTCCTCCTCATCATCCTCCTGCTTCCGGTCCTGTCTCCTCTGCTCTCTTTCCCGCCGTGATCCTCCTCCTCCTCCTCCTCCTCCTCCTCCTCCTCCTCCTCCCCCTCCTCCTCCCCCTCCTCCTCCTCCACCTCCTCCTCCTCGTCCTCGTCCTCCTCCTCCTCCTCCTCCTCCTCCCTTCCTCTCCTCCTCCGCGGGGCCTCGTCCGCGGCGCCGGGATCCGCGCGTGCCTGGGGCCACCTCAGCTGGAGCAGCGCCATGCCGCAGAACACCTCCTCGCTGAACCTGTGCACCTCCGACTGCTGCGCCGCCGCCGCCGGGGCCAGGGGGGTCGATGAGGCGAGGAGGGCGGGGCGAACGCAACGCAGTGGAGTGAAGCAGATCTCCACGAGGGTGCGCGGAGGAGGAGGTGGAGCAGGATGAAGATGATGATGACGATGAGGAGGAGGAGGAGGAGGAGGAGGATGAGGATAATGAGGAGGAGGAGGAGCAGGAACGGAGCGCAAGGGATGATGATGCTGCTGCTGATGCTGCTGATGCTGATGATGACGATGATGACGATGACGATGACGATGACGATGACGATGACGATGATGATGATGACGATGATGATTCTGATGATTCTGAGGATTATGATGACGACTATGATGCTGTTGATGATGATGATGATGATGATGATGATGATGATGATGATGATGATGATGATGATGATGATGATGATGATGATAATTATGCTTCTGCTGCTGATGATGAGGATGATGATGAACAGGACGAATAACGAAATATGATGAAGACGATGGAAGGAAAACGGGCAGGTGATGATGATGATGAGGAGGAAGAAGAGGAGGAGGAGGAGGAGGAGGAGGAGGAGGAGGAGGAGGAGGAGGAGGAGGTTGAGGAGGAGGAGAAGGACCCGCTTCCTCCCAGACCAAGCTTCTTCGTGCCGAGGGTGGTGGGGCGAGGACAGGGGGACGACGGGGGAGCGACCAAGAGGACCCAGGAGGAGAGAGGGGAGCAGAGGGGGTCGGGGAGGGGTGGAGGCAAGCTAGGTGCGCTCGCATCATATCTGACGTCCCACCCCTCCCTCCCATCCCTTGCCATGGCGTAGAAAACCTCTCTATTCGCACAGTCGGATGTCGAGCAAGGCAATGATCGCGAGAGGGTACGTAATGCATGGTAGAGCACGGCATGGCATGGTGTAGAAGAGCACGGCAGAGCGTAGCATGCTATAGCATGCCGCGGCATTGCGCAGTGAAGCATTGCATGAGAAATCATTGCAACGCAAAACATGGCATCGCACAGCGGCGCAGAACACAACACCGCACAACATGTCATGGCATGGCGCCAGGTTCCTTGGAATGTACGTGGATAGGTCTGGGCTGGTCTGGAGTCGCGGCTCCATGTCCAGCTCCCTGGGCTCCCCGAAAAGCTGCCGACAAGGAGGGGCGGGGCTGATGGAGAGCACCCGCTGGCTCTGCTTTCAACATCGCCTTCTCAAAGCAGAAATGGGGCTCCCGCTTGACTCCTTCTCAACGACGACGTCCCAAAGTGGTGGGGGGGCTTCCGCGGCCCCAAAATCAACGAATCGGCACCGAAGGTGTAATCACTTCCGATGTTTGCTTCGGGGGGCAATTTCGTAGACTTTGGAGCCTAGTTGGAAGCAGACAACGCCCGCGCTGCAGCGAGAGCACAGTTTGGAACAACCAGAGGCGCAGAAATGGGGCCAGTGCTGCAGCAGGAGCAACATTTTGAAGGACCGAAGCGAATCGGATTGAAAAAACCACACATATGGAAACCCAGCTCCCGCCAATCAAAAGCGTGAAAAACAGTACGCGGAGGGGGACGAACATCTTCCAGACAGACTCAGGGAAGAGAGGATCATAGTATTCCTATGGTGTAAGTGTGGAGGACAGTGGAGGCGTGGGGAGGCGAGGCGGCAAGGGTTTTTTTGGTGGAAAGGGGGAGGGCAAGCGTTGGATATGACCGAAACCGGCTCAAAATCAATCCCCGGACCCCTCCCGAGGTCCATCCAATGCAGTTTTTCATCCCAGATCGATTTTCGACGCTCCCGCGGCGCGAAAGCGGCCTCCAGAGGCCGAAAACGCCAACAAAAACATCTTCGATCCTCCCCTCCCCCTTCTGCCTCTCTCCCTGCCCAGAGGGCGGCGTTGGGGAGGCGTCCGGGAGGCGAAACGGAGGCGGCGGAGTGACACATATCCCCGGAGGCGCCCCCCCCCGACACCTCTGGCAGCCGGGGTGGTGCCAGAAAGCCCCCCCCAAGGGCGCGGTCAAAGCTGGCCGGGTGCTTAGACCATTGGCGTCGTGCTATCTTTTCAGTCCCAGCGTTTTCAACACGATTTCGGTCTCCGGGGGGCAAATTCTGGGTTTCAGGGCCATCAAGAAACGGTACGGGACGAAGAGCTGGTCCTTGGGACGGTGTCGGAAGCCCCGAGGGGGGCACGAGTCGAGGAAAAAGTCATGCCATCGGAGGTCTGGGATTTGGATCTTGAGGAGGAGAAGAAGGAGAAGGAGGAGGACCTCCTCTTCCTTCTCCCTGGCTTCCCCACCACCTCCTCCACCTCCTCCTCCTCGTCCTCCTCCTCCTCTTCCTCCTCCTCCTCCTCCTCTTCCTCCTCCTCCTCCTCCTCCTCCTCCTCCTCCTCCTCCTCCTCCTCCCCCTCCTCCCCCCCATCCTTCCTCCTCCTCCTCCTCCTCCTCCTCTTCCTCCTCCTCCTCCTCCACCTCCTGCTTCCAGGGCAGCTGAGGCAGGCAGCCCGAGGCGCGGATTCCGGCGAGGCAGGGCACGGGCAGAACGACGCTGGGGCGCGCAGCCCCCTCCGTGGTGCGGCTAAGCTCAGGAGGGGAAAACACACACAGACACAATTAATCGTCGATTCCCAGAACATATGGGAAAATATGGGAAGTGGGGGGGGAAGACAACATGATCGACCCACGAACCCGGAAAGGACTATAGAAATGTAAGGCATGGCAACGTTTGAAAGACACCTGATTGGGCGACGGGCAAATGCAATGCTTAATGTACCGATTTTGATGTACCGTGCCGAGAGCTGTGCTGTGCTGCGCTGTGCTGAACTGCGATGTGCCATGCCGCGATTGTGCTCTATAGCGTTGTGGATCGAGTCCTCCTTTGCATCCGAATCCTGACCGAACTGATCTGGATCTTAAGCTCGAGCTGCCTCAGCACATAGTAGCTGCCTCAGAGCTAACTGACAGGGGAACATGCCAGGAGGACGCGCCGCGGAACGTCCCAAGGGACGCGCCAGGCGACGTGCCAAGGGACGTGCCACGAAGACGCACCGCGGGACGTGCCGAGGGGACGCGCTACGGAACGTGCCAATGGACGTGCCAATGGACGTGCCAGGAGACGCGCCGCGCGACGTGCCAGGGGGACTCGCCACGGGACGCGCCACGGAACGTGCCGAAATTGCAATGCTGAGTGTATCGATCTTGATGTACCGTGCCGTGGGCTGTGCTGTGCTGCGCTGTGCTGAACTGCGACGTGCCATGCCGCGATTGTGCTCTATAGCGTTGTGGATCGAGTCCTCCTTTGCGCACGAGTCCTGACCGAACCGACCTAGATCTTAAGCTCGAGCGGCCTCAGCACATAGTAGCTGCCCCAGAGCTACTGGACAGGGGGACATGCCAGGAGGACGCGCCGCGGAACGTCCCAAGGGACGCGCCAGGCGACGTGCCAAGGAACGTGCCATGGGCACGCACCGCGGGACGTGCCAAGGGGACGCGCTACGGAACGAGCCAATGGACGTGCACCGCGCGACGTGCCAGGGGGACTCGCCACGGGACGCTCCGCGGAACGTGCCAGGCAACGTGCCAGGCTGCAATGCTAAGGGTATCGATATTGATGTACCGTGCCGAGGGCTGTGCTGTGCCTGGGCGACCTGGACACGTGAAAACACGAGTTTCGCTCAAGACGTTCTCAGCACATCCTCATGCTAGACATCCGCCTGGACAACCTGGACACGCGCAAACAAGCGTCTCGATCGAGACTTCCTCGACACCGCCTCATGCTAGACATCCGCCTGGGCAACTTGGACACGTGAAAACAAGCCTCTGGTTCGAGACATCCTCAACAAATCCTCATGCTAGACACCCGTCTGGGCAACCTGGAGGCGTGAAACTAAGCGTCTCGCTCGAAACATCCTCAAAACCTGGGCACGTGAAAACAAGCATTTCACCTGAGAGATCCTCTGAATTCAGGTCCCCAGGAGAGCACAACATATAATACAAAACAAGCGTTTCGCTCGAGACATCCTCAACAAATTCTGAAAATCAAGCGTTTCGTTCGAGACATCCTCACGTTTTAATTCGCCGGCCCTACGCGACCTCGTTATTTATCGCAAAAGAAATTCGCCGGCCCTACAGCCGTCAAAACCGGGGGGAAACCAACTAAAAGAGAACCCTGGGCCTTTGCCCTTTCCGGGAAAAACCCAGAAAATATGAGAAAATATGGGAGATTTTTTTTCTGTGTGTATTTATTTGTGTGTCCCAGTTCCCCTTCATAAGCGTATTCAGCAAGCACGGCCAGAAGAATCGGGAGGGCAACTCACGGGGTCACGACACCACGCAGCTGACCAAAGCTCACGATCCGCAAACCTCGGGGGTCATAGAGTGTGGGCAGGGGCATCGGGCAGCCCGGGGCGACGAGATGTGGGGGCGGGGGGGGGCGCAGAGCATGGGCGAGGGGCCAGACGCGGCAAGTGGCGGCGGCGAGCTGTAGGTGGCGCGAGGAAGAGGAACGAGGCAAAGCGGGGCTGGGGGGGGGGGGCGCAACGCAAGGCCTGAGGCATGTGGCCGGGTTGAGGCCAGCGGCGGCGACGAATACTACGCGACGAGTACTACGCTGGGCTGGTGGCGGCGGTGATCTGAGGGGGCGCTGAGCCGGGGCAGTTTTCTAGACTCGAAGGAAGGGCCCACACTGTAAATAGTCACTGCTTGATAACAAGGTGAGTATGACGGCCTCGCCCTCCAAGAAGCATTCCGCCACCGTGCCGCGAGGCACTGCGTGGAGTGTCCTCAGGTCCCTTCGAGTTCTCTGTGATGAGTATTGTAAGGATAACGTTTTTTTTTCAGACCCCAAAGCCCGGATATTCGGAGCTCCTGCACAAAGGACCGCACGAACCAAACATGATGGACCTACGAAGCCGGAAAGGGATATAGGACCGCATTCATGGAAACGTTTTCACGACACCGTATTGGGCGACGGGCACTTCCACGAGACACCCCGCGAAACATTCCACGAGACACGGACGACCGT